GTTAAACGTCAGAAAACAAACGCGTTTGAAACGCTGAAATTGTATTTAGCTCAACTTCTATTCCTTTGATCTATTTTGTTGTAGTCAAGGATAAATAATAAACAAATTGATGTTAAAGCCGGCGTTTTTATTTCGCGTGATTTTGTTTGAAGTGTTTGTCTCTTTCAAGTCGCGCACTTGTCACAATTCTATTTTCGGATTATATTCTCTAATTTTCTACGAAACTATAAATTCGACATTTATTGCATCATCGAATAATTCTCCGTCTAATTGTCGTTTACAGTCGATTAAAGCGGCCAAAACTGTTGTGCTTCTTGATCATTCGCGTTATTATCTCGTTCATAAAGTCTCGAAAATAAGCAATTATCTGTCAGCAATCGAATTAAAAATGTATTTGTTTTTCCGACGGTTTTATTCATGCAATTCCCGGCGTAATTTTTGCAAATCAACTAAGAATGCATATTTTTACTGCCAATAAAAGCTTAAATCAAATTGTTGTGGTTTTGGTTTTCAGGGAAACACGTTACGGGTTATTTTGGCGTTTCAACAACGCTAAAATCGTAATAGAATCGATGTTTTACGTGATCGTATTGCATCGATGCAGAAAATATTTATACGTTTACGACTTATTAGAATATGCATTACACATGTTCTCGCATATTACTAACAAAGCATAAAACATCAAATAAAACCCTTTGTTTCTGAATTATATTTTTTTCCGACCAGAAAACCTTGAATATTTAATACGTTAATTCGAAACAAAAGTTTCAATTATTCCTGGCTGACGTCTGAAGTGTATTGCAGATGGTTTTTCACATCTTGCCACTTAATTCACTTATGTATGCATATATGTAGTTCAAGATCAATTATATGTTTATACCTTTTCATTTCCGAATCAATATGCAACTAATCAATCGAATTGAATTCACCCCCGTGCGGACAACATGTTTCAAAAACTATTAAACTGCGCGACAATAAAATGCTGTGACATTCGTTTCATTTATTGTGACTGTTTAATTTTGGACTAACTCGATCAATGTCACGAAATTATTATTCGCGCGACATGGATACGCGGATGGACATTCATCATTTATACCAAGATTTATTCGATTATATTCACAGGTAACAAATATTTCAATTTTAATTTTCACTTTAATTTGCTGCATGTTACGATTTTATGCAAAAATAAAAATAATTTAATTTTTTTTATCGTATACACTTGGTATGTAAACAATCGCAAATCAAAACATATTTATCTAAAATAAAATATATTTGTATGCATTCATGTGCGCATTGTGTAACTGAAACACGCGGAATAATTCCGTGCATGCATTTTTTAATATTTAAAATAAAAATATTCAATTTCCAGCGTTATCAAAGAACAAACAAGCGAATTCAAGTCATTTTACTCTTTATTACGTTGAGTAGATTATCTCTATGTATATCGGTCACATTTTTGCCATTTTTCGGAGCGAAAAAGCGTCGACTAATGTGGACACGACAATTTATAATTTATCGATCCCGGGCGGGCGTATCGCATGTGATGCACACACGAAACAAAAATGAAAAATGCACCAAATGCACCGCATAAATATGAAATTGATACACACGCCTCACAAAGAACCCAAATCCAAAACCATTATAAAAAAATCGTGTTAATAATAAATATCACGTCATTTATCATCGCAGTCAGCTCAAACATTTAACCCGAACACGACTTGTTCTAAACTATTCATCACCAGATGGTGCTGGTTATGCTAATGTGATTTCCCACACGTCCCCGAAATTGAGTTTGAGTTTCTCGGATTGTTACCGGCAAATTCAGATCGTGTTTCGTCAAGTGACGCAATTGGATTGCGCGCAAAACAGAACCGCATTAATACAAGACGAAATTTATAACAATTAAACTACAAGTACAAGATGAAAAGAGCTTAAAACATTATAAGCACTTAAAACCTTGTCCTTATTCAATGTTTGGTGCATTTTGATTTATGATACGAGCGGTGATTTATGGCCGGCGACGTGAGTGCACTCGCAGTGAAATATTGGCAATATCACCAATATTTACCTGCCGTTTTCCGTTTGAACTTTTAAGTCACTTGTAATTACGACAGCGCGCCACGCTTAAGTCTACTTAGTCGTATGTTAGAAGAGACATAGACTTTACGCAAACTTACAACTTACTTATGCTTACACAATGCAGTTTAGTTTAATTATAATTTAAACTAAAGCGTAAGTAATACCGAAAGAGACTTTACTTAAGTAAGTTGATTTAGTGACGCCATAACGTAATGTCAATGGCTTAGCGGGCGCTCAAGTGTGCAAACGTAATTATCGTGTGCTAATTCCCTAAATATACCTGAATAAATCACTTTCAGACCGATACTAAAACAAATTGATCGGATAATTGAATTTTTATGTTTTTCAACGTGTTTTAATGTGACTTAACGATGCGCAATGCAATTTTCCGTTAAATCCCTACTAATATTATAAATGCGAAAGTCCTGATATTTGTTACACTTTCACGCAAAAACTACTTAACCGATCATCATGAAAATTTGTACACATATTCTTAGTGGTCCCCAAATGGTTATAGGCTACTTTTTATTTAATAAAAAAAAATATTTTTTAAATAAAATAAAGAAATTGTTTAGCCAATAATACCTCTGCATCTGGCTATTTGACTACATTAACGCCATCTAGCATTCCAGCAATGAAGCTCAAACCTAAGTACTATAGTACCATCACACTGTATTATCACACTGTATTACCGACAGCTACGTCAACATCAAATCCAATTGACAACACTATGGAGACTGTACACTATACTTCCATAGACTATACTTTCAGCCATTTTAAACTTCCCGCCATTCTACTTCATTGTTACTTCTTCTGTGACTACAGTACTTTATAAACAAACAGAAATTAGCCATTTTTTCCGCTTGGCATTATCATAAATCTCGACAAAACTCGCCGAAACCGTAAAACTTAATGCTTTGCCTCCACACAGCATCAGAACACATGTAATTCTAAAAATAATAATAGACACTAACCACCCATCCATGCGTGTGGCTGCGCGCACGCGAGAATGTTTCGTTTGACTCTTTCTATTTCTATTAGCATAAAATACTAGACTCGCAAGAGAGGAACACACATCAGTTATAATAGTCCGCGCATGCATCTGAATATTTGAGAGCATTTCGTAGGGTTTTTGAAGGTGCATGTCTGCCAACTATTTCGGTGTGTTGCGCGGCACGTTTTAATTCTTTTGTCAAGCGAGTCGAGATTTCCACCACGCATCGCCCAAGTGATGTCAGAGAGTCAGACACTGGGAGTGGAGCTGCTGCTCGGAAAAGTAAATCGAGGTGTAAATTTAGACTCTAAATATGCGGAGGTGAAACAGAATAGGATGCGGCTGTTCCTCTGTCCGTTTGTTCGCCTCGAGACACGACATAATGAACACATGAGCACACACCGAATAGTAAATCTTAAAAGCGTCATCGAGCAACAGTTGCGCGCGGCTAATCTTGGACAGAGATTATTAATCAGCTGAAGAGGTTTTGTGTTTGTATTTTTAGACAATGAAAAATTTTTTCCAAGACTTTAAAGACAATAAATGTGCTAAAAGTTAACAAAAAATCCAAAATCTTAAAATTTATCAATTTACTGTCAAGTTTTAAAGAATTTTGCGTCAATTTTTAATCTATACTTAAAAATCGTCTACTTAATGAAGTTTTAGTAAAGTTTTAGTTTCTCCACGGCGTGACATCTTTATAGCTTGCACATCTTCCGGGCGAAGTTGAACGCCTCTTAAATTCGTACAACTTGCGACGATAATTGCCTGATGCCGCTAAGCGGCTACCTAATTAGGAAATTAATCACCTCTGAGGATGAAAGCCATGCACCACATTAAACGCATCAATTTGTCACAATTTTAACTCCCGTACTTCGCCCAACTTATATATTTACATAATATTTAAGGAACAGCTTCAGCGTTGAAATTAAAATGTAATTTGATGAATGGATGCCTTAAAATAGTAGCGTTAAATTTTGAATCACTGAAAAGCGTGCTGACGCCTTTACATTTCCAATTGGAAGCAAACGAGAGCATAGCGATCAGATAAATAAACATCCAGTCAATCAATGATCAATCAGGCGTTCTTTTAAATACGAGAAACACGGTTTTAAAGTTCTTGTGATGCAGGAAAATATAATTACAATTACACATATTTGTAGATGACGTTTTCCTCGACCTGTTTCACCGCAATAATCATTATAAAGCAATTTGTAGAGAGAATCGTCCTCGTGTCTTCCTTTAATGTCCCCAGCCACAATTACCGACATGTAAGTACGAGTATAATGACACTATGCGACTCAAATAAAATAAAACAAATTGTATAAAACTAAACGCGCATAAATATTTGATTATTCACTGCAAATTCTTCGTGTTACTTCGTTTTTTATGTTACAATGCACATTGCAACCCTTATTTACGTGTTATATCCTTTGCCAATTTCGCTCATTTACAGTTTCCTGCATTCCGCGAAGTTTATAGCGAAAAACGTCGAAAATTTTCATCGCACACCTTCGGCGTCATTTTACGAGGGGCAAACGGAACATCTTGCGAAAGAAGAATGAGATGGCGGCGGGTGCCATCAACTAAACAACCGAAGCCTGCCCCAAATTGGATGCAAAGCATGCGGGGGCTGGCGGAGAGCGATTAATAAAGACGCGCTGCGGCGGCGGCACGTAGTAAAGCAAACCGAGTATAAAACCCAAATAAGGGCGCGATGACGATGAAGTTCTTCCCTCTGCTCTGCGCCCGCCCGAGTAAAGCCGCTTAATATATCAACTATTATTACGTATTTTTAAAACATGCAACGCATGTAAGGATTTAATAAACATTCTCGGAATAGCATCGTAAAAATTCAGCCAATTTAATTTTAATATTATGAATATCGAAAAATATTCTTTTTTTTTAATTAAATTTTATCTTATACCTTTCTTTGTGGTTGTCGCATGGTTGGCTGAGCAACAAATGTGCGCAAAGTTGCAAGCGGGGCCGGCAGACCAGCAAGCATCGGCTGTACATGAACAGCTGGCGGTTGGAGATGCAAAGGTCCTCCGGGATGATGAATGGGCACGGCGACCATCTTCTGCAGGGGCACCCCCCACGGCAGGTACCACGAGCCGGGATGGTGCTGCATTCTAACAAGTTTCTTCCAAAAGTTTCTCACAACTACACAACTTCAACGTTTTAAATCTTTAGCTTTTATCTTATCGCGAAACGTGTTTATGCACACATAGAAGACGACTGGTTACAGACAACAACATTCAACAATCACTGGCTATATTCACACCAAATTTTATTTATCTACGTATTCAACTATATATTCAAGTGTTTAGCACCGCCATGCTTTCATAGTCCGAACATGTGATTCATGTGAATCACGCACATTTATATAATTTTTAGATTTCAAGATTCGTTTGTTTTGTTTTTATTTTTTGTGTTTTCGATTTGAGATTGTGATGAGAACGCGTCCGCAACGCTGTGCGTATTATGAAGAATCGACACGAACGACGGACGTGCGCTGCGAGCCGCGTACGTACACTGACTGATTGCGGCGAGCAGCACGCAGCCTGCTGTGGCCTGCTAGAAACGGATAGAGGCGCAGTAGACAAGCGACGCGAACGGCAGGAGCAGCGTGCGTGGCGCATCGTCCTGCGCTCCTGCGTCGAAGAAATTGCGCGCACGGTGTCGCAGGACACTAGTGTTATCACGGATTGCTATAAATGCTAATTACATGTACATAAATTACGCTAAAACGCAATTTATTTCATATTATAACCTCAAAAATTCAATTTTTTTTCAAAATTCTTTTTAACTTTAATTTTAAACTGGATTTCAGTGCCTGGTAACTACAAACAGTACAAGAATAGATATTCCTAAATTGTATCCTTTGTACAACATATTTTTTATACAGAGTGTTAACACAACTCATTAAAAACAAGTTTTGAATGTTTTTAAATCATCCAGTAGATGTATACATTTCTAAAAGGTTTAAATTTCAAACAAGATGACAACGACAGAAGACGCAACCGAAAAGTCCACATGCGACAGAAACGAATCGTAAATTTCACCGAAACTAACTTAGTCTATTTTCGTCCCGCTTGAAGAGCTAGCGCCCGGCCTCTAGGTCCACACAATAAGTCGTAAAAGATTAAAATAAATAGTAAGCGATAGAATCGGGCAGTTTTCATCAGCGTGTTGTATACGCTTTGGTTAATAATTAATTTAGAGAAGCTGCAAATGGGCGAGCATTATCAAAGAACAATTAAACTTCGCAGACATCCCCCGACAAACAAAAACAATTAAAACCACAACAACCCTAAACAAACATTAAGTGCACTTCTGTGCGAGAAATATGTAATTTTAACAACAACAATATACTATGATATGATATGAATTAAAATATGAATCTATATAATATATATATATATATATATATAAAAATGAATTGCTGTTCGTTAGTATCACTAAAACTCGAGAACGGCTGAACGGATTTATCTTATCTTGGTCTTGAATTATTCGTGGAAGTCTAGGGAAGGTTTAAAAGTTGAGAAAAATTCGAATAATTGCCGGGAAAATCCTCAAAACAGCTCTTTTCTATAGAATAAAATTTGACATTGAGATTCAATCATAGTTATAGTTAAATAGTTGAATTCGAGATGGCGCGCTGAAGTGCATTATTGACAAAACTTTATATAATTAATTTGTTTAAATTAAAATTGCTAATCTTATAGATAGAATTGACTCTTACTACGAGTATGTCTAGAACAAGAGAGTAAAACGAATTACATTTTTATTAAACACTGCCGGAACGAAGTCGCGGGCAACAGCTAGTTATTAATAAAAGCGAGCCGACTAAATACGTATAAATCGATAATTTATCGTCCGCGCGCCTATCTGCACCGCCGCTGCTGGAAAACGGTGAGAAAACGCGAACGCACCACGCAGAAATGCACCGCAGACGCGCCGAGATCAAACGATTGGCTGGCGTCGCGGGCGAAACCTTTCGAAACGCGCTGATTTATTTAAATTTTATCCGATCGCATCGCAACATGCGACAATGACAACCATCTACAATACAACACGCTATTAATTGTGTAATTTTTACATGCATTTAACAAAAAACGAACAAAAATAAAGTCTACTTAAGTTTAAGTGAATTTAACTTTGCAAGTCCTTAAGTAATTGGCTGGAGCAAGCCGTAAAATGCGAAGTGCATTCGCGACGTGTCGCTCGCAATGATGGATAGGAGCGTGCGCAGCTGGTGCACCTGTTTTCCATTGCTTACCAGCGTTCCATTTCCATATCGGTTGCATTTTCCGCTTTTAGACGAAATGCAATCTTATCGACACTAAACTCAACTATTTCCAAGCAACTAAGTACTTCATATCTACTTAAGTGCTAATTGAAAACACCCCGTATATAGGAATTTCCTTCTTGTGTGTAAGTTATGTGGAAAACCGTATAAAGACGCAAGAATTCGATGCAAAAATAAAATTCGTCGCTAGCGCATCACATCGCATGCTTCTAAGAAGAGTATCACACACCGCGTTTAGAAAGACACGAAAAAATGCGCTGCGCACAAAATCGGCGGGTTAAAAAATTACCCGCTCGCGACCATAAGCGGCGGCGGCGCGGAGCCTTGTGTGGAAATCAAACCGGCGCGCTCGCAAACAGAGACATTTTTATCTCAAGCGCGCGCGCGTTTTTTCTGCGCCTTGTGAGCGCAATATTTTAAAGAGCAACGCGCCGCCGCGCACCGCAATTTATGTGCGAAAAAGAAGCGGCGAGGAATTTCCAATCTATCCATAAAGTTTGAGAGTTTACGAGTTTATGAACGCAACCGACCGATGGAGAATAAATAAAAGTGCGCGCCGCGCACGCATGCAAAGCGGCAGAGGTGGAGTCGAACGTTCCTCGATACGCGTAATTAATTTGAAAATACGCTAAGATAAGATTTAGCGGTCTAATTAACTTCTTGTCTTTGGATAAGCGTATAGTATCTATAACCGTACGCAAAATAAAATTTAAAGAAATGAAAAACACGTGTAGGTAAATTATATTTTTTGTTTTTTTTTTTGCAAAATTTTTTCAATTAAACTGTATATTGATAAAGGTATACAGAAAAGATACTGGCTAGACATACGAGTATGAGAACAAGAACCCCCTTTGGCTTTGCATGTCGTACACATATTGTGAGTACTTTTCTGTGTACATCGACCGCATAACATACCCGCCGTCGTATCAGACGGGTAGTAATTTTCAATAAGGTAATAAATTGCCAAACAGCAGCCAGCACATAATTTACGAATTAAATAAAAATAAAAATTATTAAGAATTAATTTTAATATTTTTACGTGTGGTCGCCGGAGAGATACAAGAATAGAAACAGAAGCGGTTTATCACGCTAGATTAAATCATAATGAAGACATATGTGCGACACATTGCTACATGAAGCTCCACCTCAAAAAAAAAACAATTTCAATTGAATTTTCTTAATTAAAATTAAATTTCCACGAAAACGCTGCAAATATTAACACAGCTTATTTATTTGTATGTTGATTTGGTTGCAAACATTTCATACACAAAATAAACACTGTTAAATTACCTCTTCGCTTTGTTTTTTCCGAGTTTTATTGTTTCTAAACGTTTGCGCGCAATATTTTACTCGCAATGTAACGCAACGAATTTGAAACTAAAGTTTAGTCTCACTACACTTTTCATTGCTGTCAGACGGCGGTCGGGAGTCGAAGCACGAAGTCGTGTAATAATAAATCACTGCACCTGTTCGTGTACGTCTTTCTTTTGTCGGCGACACACATTTTCGCAGCCCTGGCATTGCTTTTAAATATTTTTATATAATTTTATTCAACGCTCAAACAAACAAGACGTAAAAAAGACGACACCCTCCCGACTTTTTAAAAATATCGAAATGATGAAAATTTCATCTGTAATCATCGTGTCTGCCAGCGGAAGAACCTTCTTCTTCTTCCCTATCTCGCATTTTCATTTTATATAAAATTTTTTTTTCGTCGTTTTGCGTCACGCTCGCACCGCATTCGAGATTATTTTTCATTCTTATATTCCTGTGCCATCTGCATGCATTTGTTTGCTCTTTTAGTTCGCACTTCATTTGCGCGTGCACATATATGGATGATATGCTAAATGAAAATAACGAGGCGCACACGCTGCGATATAAAATACAAGAAATATATTTGAGATGCGACAGCGGCGCGCATAATGAGCGCGTGCGGAGCGCAAAATTCCGAACTGAATTATTCAAAACTGAAGGTAGAACATTTTTAGTTCCAAAACACGCATATTTTCTGATTGTCAACTGCTTATTGTTTGTTTCGCTGCGTCGCGAAGCTTTTGTACATGCTTGTTGAATTTGTTGGCAACGTGTGGATTTCCACTATCCCCCTGAGCATCTCTCACGGCCTGGGCTTCGTCGCGCGCCGTTATCTAACATTATTTTATGAATCATTTATACGCAAGGCGGTAAATATTTATCAACCTCATCGAATATTTAAACCGTGTCGTCCCTAGTCTCAGCGGCTCACTTCTTAGTCTCTTTCCGGAATCCCGGCAAGATACATCAACTTCATACTTATGCGGTTGCTCAAATTTCAAAACTTTCACACTACTTTTCACATGCAAAAAAACTTTATATTATATTATGTATCAAGTGCGCTAAATGGCATTTTAACAACGTTAAGCAATTTCTACTCATGACTAAAATCAGTAAAAAAAAGTACTTTAGTCACGGGCGTGACTAAAGTGTAATTTTCGTATTTCAAAACCGTAAAAATTTAAAAAATAACTAAAAACTAATTTTACACAAGAAAAAATATAAAACTTGTGATTGGTTGTGTTTCCGGATTAATCCCTAGTAAAAGTCCAAGTTGAGAGCAAATGACGCCCTTGGAAGTACGTGTAAAGAGCGTAAAAGCTGCGTGTGGAAGAGTTGAAGAATGAACGCCGGGGTAGAGTTGTCGATTGGGTGCGATTGAGACGTGTCAACGATTCGATTTCCTCGAGATTTTCCTCCGACGAATGTTTGCCGGCGGGATCCATGTGCAAGAGTTGAGTGAGTCGAGGGTTACACTCGGGTTTCGCTTCCGGCCCGGCTGAGGTGCAACCGAAATCGCTTCCGCAAATACACACAACAAGCACCACATCGAGCAAAAGAGGATGCTGGGTCTGCGGCTACATGAACTCGAAAAAATCCGGGGCGCGAGTGAAAAAACTTCAAACCTCAATGCGGAAATCGAAGTGGAGCACATCAAAACCCCGTGGCTCAGAAGTGACGAATGTCTGACTGCGTGCGCGATGCGTGTGAGGGCCCCGAGGCGTATAAAAGGACGCAGTTGAGAGTGGGTTGAGATTTCACTAGATTTAACCGCAAACAGCACGTGCCACACGCGTCTCGTTATTGACTCGTGCGCATTTTGTTCGGCAGCCGAGTCAAACGATTTTTTTCCGCATCAAAATAACGTAAAATAGCGCAATTTCTGTGCTTTTGAAAGTAAGAGAAATAATATTTAGAGTTTATATGATGCGGAGCGGG